TGTACCGAATGTTACCAAATCATTCGTTTGGACAAAAACTTGCAAAGAGTGAACACAATTTTGACATTTCATTTGGAGGGGAAGTTACAAATTCGTGCTGGGAAAATTTTTGCCAGCAGGAATTTGGAAAGAGGTTTGTGGCACACAGTTGCATTTTTGCTGGAATTAAAAAAAAAAACGTTAGATTTTAAAATGCACAGCGGACAGTGAAGCTTTCAAATTAAAGACACATTTCTGTTCGCGGCAAACTTTTTTCTCTTTGAGAAAGTAAGACACTTGATTCTCGAAATTTTTGTTGCTAGCTAATTTTTGATGGCTTTTCCAACAACTATCTGCATACGTCAGTCGCACGAAAATTAATCGCCTTGTCTAAAATCCCCTCTGGTTCCAAACGGCTTTACATGGTTCTTCAAATTTTTTTTTTTTGGAGCTGAGAAAATTTAATTAAAACGTCATCTAAACTTCTAAAAAGTATGCAGTTTGATACCCATATTGCAATATTCAATTTATCTTCTCAATTAAATTGAATTAAAACTTTTAAACAGGTGGCAACCTTCAACGAAAATATTTTTTCGGCTGTAAGCCTCCTTAAACCTCTTTCTTTTGACAGCCATATTGCAATATTTACTTCTTATCAATTTACTTAAACTCCACTTTTCAAACAGGTGACAGACAACTCTCGCATGTTTTTCTATATTTTAAGCTAGACCTCTAGCAATACATCGCTGAAAACTGCATTCAATTTCATGCATTAGTTTTCGTGTGAGGCGCGTACAAACATACAGACAGACAAAAATTCTAAAAAAAATTGTTGATTTGGCTTCTGTTGCTCTAATTAAGACCCCCTTATTAATTTTTCTTGAAAATCTATAATGTACAGAAATCGGTCTGTTACAATTTTATTATATGTATAGATTTGTTGATACCTATGTATTTATATAGGTACATATATCCGCGCAAAGGTGTGTAAGGCCGTGGCAACTCAAACGAAAAACTAATTTTCGATCTAATAATGTATTGTGCGAAAATTTTCATAACAATATCTTTTTTAGTTTCCTCAGGGGAAGAGTACGTCCATCTCAATTTCGTCTCTCCCAAAATTCCGATTTTTGAGTTGTGACAGTCTTTTGGTAAATGAGCGATATGTAGAATGTTGCAACGCTTCTCAATTTGTTTACCTATTCACGGGCACATACATACATATATGTATGTACAACAACTTGCGAGGCAACAAACACTGGGTGAGAGATTCGGGTAAATGGACGACCATGTGACCTTGAATGCGGCCAAGCCCATGGCCAAACGATTATCGCGCTTTTCCTCATAGATGGCAAATATTCTTTTTTGCACTTTGGTTTATCATCACTATTTGCTTTATGTTGCTACCTAAGTGCATGTGTATGTATGTATATGTATAAATGTTCCTCCTTGGTTTTGCATTGTTTTTAATAAATATTATGCACTCTTCTATCTCATAGTTCGCCTTTTCTCTTTTCTTCTGGTATTTATCTACAAATACTTTTCCGAATATTTATTAAAATTTTGCAAATTCTATTTTTGCTGTAGTTACAACTGTAGAATGGTAGTGCCAACATAGGCCATCGGCGGTTCAATGAGAATCGTTTTTTGATATTAGCCGATACTCAATTAGTGCCATCGCATATTTTGTAGATATAAAAAAACAGAGCGGCTAACAAGCAGTAGTTATGGGTAAAAATAAAGGAGGTGGTGGTGGAGGAGGGGGAGGAAGTGGCGGCGGTGGTAGTGGAGGTGGCGGAGGAAATGTAAGCAAAATTTGTGTTATGCAAGCGAAGTAATTGTAAGTAGATCGGCAACGAAAGAAAATTAATCTAATTGTCCGGTTTATATCTTCCACAACATCAACATGCACAGTCAAATATATCGACAAGACCCACCGCAATACCCTATACAAAAACCTAAATAAATATTCCCAATTTTTTCATATAATTCCAATCCAACCGTTTCTGGGTGAATACAGGTCTCGCATGGTGTCGGATTTTCATTTCATAAAATTTCCGATCCGCTAAAACAAAGTTCAAGATTAAAAAAAATAAAAACTTATTTCTTATCTACAGCCCAAGCCTTTTAATTTGACACCTCATTTTTGAGAGTCGAATGAAGAGTAACACGATCGTTACCTTTATTCACAAAGGCCTTTTCGAGACTGTGTTTTTCATAGATTTTGGTAGGATATATTAAAATACACCTTCAAAAAAATTTTAAATGTTAGTACCACAATCACCGGAGCTACAAGCCAGTTTTTAAAAAGCCCTACCTGGTTTTGATACTGACATAATGTTTTTTTCTTCTCCTGTAAAATAAAAAATTTTTTGGTTGGGACCTTTGTGAACTATGGTAACGATATAGCGCACGTTTAACAATAGATATAGAAAAGTAATTTAAAATTTAAATTTTTTGAGATTTCATCATATAATTAATAAGCTTAATAAGGGTAATAGGTTCAGTCTAATATCTAACCAAACTTCCCAAAAATGGCGAAGATGTGTGTCTTTCCATCTGTTTTTTGTATACCAATTGTTTACTTGATCAAACTTTAATTGCGTTTTCCCACAAAATTTTAATTTTGAAATAATTCTCTTTACTATTAAACGTGCGATATAATACTATAGATAGCTAATAGGGCCAACAATAACTGAAATTTCTTCCTAAACGTATTTTGACTTATTTAAGTCCCCAATATGTTAAAACATATGTACATATGTAGGTTTGTGCATTAGGCCGATCCAAAAATGCATGTTGGGGGGGAGGGCACCGCTCTCACCCAATGAGTCTTCCAATAATAACACCCAATTGTTTATTTTACAATTTTTTAATACTGGCGAATTTTTATGGCTATGTATGCACTAGGCCATTCAATCCCGGGATTACTGCTCCAGGATCCCGATATTTTTACTGAATCATTTACCGAATGAAAGAGATGTTGGAAACGAAAAAAAATTCATATTACATGAAACACAGAACACCAAAATTTGGATTCAAAGTGAACTTGAGCCATTTGCACTAGGAAGTGAATTTCGGGATCTGCCTGAATAACTGTACTTGTTCAAATATTTTGTGCAAGAACTGTGTGATAACGAAAAATCTGGTAGCAATTAAATACACAACAAGTTTTTACAGTGTGGCAGAGTTGTTCTTCATTTTACTTTGTTGGCCTTTTTTTGGAAAAGGATTTCTGCAAATATGAGTAAATGTTTTTGACAAGTAATATAGATATTTTAGAATAAAAACATTTAAACATCAAATTACGTACTCTTTTACTAAGGGGCACTATGCTGCCCTAAGACCAAATATGGTGGCAATGAATCTGTATGCTTTGAAAAAAAGGCGAACCTACTGTAAAATGCAAAAAGTTGGGATGAAGTAGAAATCCCGATAAATCCCGGGAATTAGAATTTTTGAATTCCGAAATCTCGGGATTGTCAAAATGCTTCGGGATTGAATGCCCTAGTATGCACATTAACGCAGTCCAATTTTTGTATGGGGGAAAACATTTTCATCCTAGAAAACGGGGCACCCCCTTAGTTTTTTCCTTTTGATATTTGTAATTCAGTTTTTTACTGCAACCAATACAGGGTGCTCAATGACCTTGAAATACGCTACTGGATCGCTGTGAAGCTGGCAAAAATATTGGTGATTTTTACAAAAAGCAACTGTTGCTATGCCAACTGAAGCTTGTCATATTTTTTTAGATAATTTAAATTTGAAATGTTCTTAGGTTATTTAACCAATTGTTTGATTAAGATATGTACACAATACTTCTAAAGTAAAATATGAGCATCATGAGCATTCTCTAAATGTATACTTAGAAACGTTAGATTTGATACCAGCACCTCCTTCGGCAAGAGGAAAAATTTTGGAAGTTGCCTCAAACCCTATCCTTTGCTACAATAGTGTCAACTCATAATCCGAAAATTTGCAAAAAAACGGATTTAAATATAATAGTTTACATACGCCCCCATCGTAGAAATGAAGACACATTTTATTTTAATGGGATTATTGTTCATCGACACAGCTATGAAATTTGTACACAACAAAGAAGAAATGTGGCGGTAATTTCTGCAATTTTCTTTTCAAATCCAGTATTGTACAATCTGCCAATTTCCCACTAAAAACCTATGGTATTTTTAAAATAACTAAAATTAGTTACACTCTTCAATAACAAAAAAAAATTATAAATTTATAAATTTTAAAACAAACTCGCAGCCAAACTTGATTTTCAACGGAGTTTTTTCATCGCTCTCATGATTCTCTTTCGGTATTTCAGAAAAAAGGAGGTGGCGGCGGTGGTGACAAAAGCGGAAACAAAAACAAAACTGTAGGCGGAGCTGACAAAGGTGGTGGGAAAAAAGGTCAGGAGCAAAAGGCAGGCGGAGGTGGTGCTGGCGGCGGAGGTGGAAAAAAAGGTGGCAAGAAGTAGCAGTGGTCGGTCCTAACACATGCAAGCTCACAGCAAACATATGTATATGTATGTTTATTTTACGAATTAAGTTAAAATTTCATTTGTCTTCATCTTAACTTGTAAGCAATTAGCAAATTTGTTAATAAGTATAAATTTAGATAATAATTGATTTATGTTGTTTCAATGTAGCAAGAAATACATGTACATGCGCATGTCAAGCAAGGAAACATCTTTTAAAGATCTAACTAATTGAAAAAAAATTAGTTATTCTTCATTAGTATACACACATACTTTTACATTAGCAAATAGGTACGTATGTATGTATGTGTGCTTTAAATTGCTCCTATATTTTTATTCCGCCGCTTTGGTACATACAAATATAACAAATTGACTTGTAAACAGCTGTGGTATTTATTTTCTATTCCAGTTTTCCAATACATTTTTCAGTGAAGTGTGCAACGTTAACAAAGTAGATTTAGCTTAACAACTCACTCAAACTAAAACATGCGGCTGCCTTATAAGTAATTAATTATGTATGTATGTATACGAAAAATCCCCATATAATTGATTGGAGTAGCTCTCTCCCATCTGCGTACTTACAGACTAAACTTATGTACTAATGTGTGTACATATCTGTATGCTATAATACATACATATGTAATATATGCGGGTCTATTTATGAATACTTCATTCCAATTAACGTAACCACCTTAAAGGTCGTCTTACTATCGAAACCAATCCTGTGACATGGCGCCAAAGAAGGAGGCAGCACCGGATTTCGTTTTGGAATCAACTTTCCCTTTTGTTCCAGTGTTCGCTAATGATGTTGACGCAGTTACTTTACGAGTAGGCGTATTCTGAAAGCGGAGGTGTTTAAAGGTTAAAAACAGAGAAAGTTAGAATTATCGTTTACTTGGTGTATGTATGTATGTATTTGCACATACATACGCATGTAGTTACTTCTATAAGTAAAAGATTAATTGTAACAAACAAATCATTTAATTAACTCAAAGCAAATCAAATTCACCAAAACAATGAGAAGCATATTAGTTGCAGCACCAAAAAACATAATAATAACTTATGAATCCAATCTGGAGCAGATGTAACCAAGTATTATGAGATGGTATTTAATCGTTTATATAAACGCACAAGCAACATGGGTTTATGGAGTGGTCATTCCAGGAGTAGCAGTAAACTTTTCACTCCGAATTTCTATATACATACATACAAACAAGTTCTTCATTATTTTGGATTTGTAATTAGTACTTCATTAAAACTTTTAGTGAGATAACCAACAAGATAACTAAACAACATCCTGAGCAAAATTTACATACTTATCAGTCCCAAAATATTTTTAGCTTACGCGTGTGTAGCTATAAATTTAAAAAAAGGTTCTTAAAGAAGAATAAAAAACACGATTTTGTTTACATTGGTACTGTACTGACTAGTGAAGTATAATCTGAGATTTACCTTTTCAGCATCCACCGAAATTGCGTTACTTTGCTCTGGATTGGCAGCAGGTGTCGGAGTGACAATTGGTAGCAGAGGGAACCACAACGATGTTGACCCGTTTGAACTTAAACTCAAAACATTTGGATCCTTCTCCTGTCCCAACAGCATGGACGCAGCAGGAGCCATGTGCGCTGACAACGGTGGCGTCAGAACACCAAATTGAAAATTTAACCGAGCTACAGATCGCTTGACATTAGTTGAAATGTGTTCAGTAAATAACTCAAAATCGAAGGGGTCAATAAGATCTTTGAAGGTACTTTGTAAAGCACCGAATTGTTCGTTCAATGAACGATCGTCTCGCGTGATACCAAACATACATTGTAGAAATTTCAAATCGAAATACAGTTGTAAGGCGATACTTTGACTGCTCACCGCTTTGTCCTTGGCATTGCTTTGATATTGTTCCAGTATTTGGGATAGAAGCTTTTGATTACAGTAATGTAGCACTTTTGAGGGCAAGGTTTGTGGCACGATTAAATTCAACGCGCGCACTAATGTAAAAAGATACGCTTGTAGTGATATACGTGGCTGGTTGGGAATGCGAAAAGTCGAATGTATGGTAGCATCCTGCTCATCTTTTTGCTCTAGTTTAACGGTTTCCCAATTCTAAAAGAAAAAATAACTAAATGATTTAAATAGTAAAATGGTTAAAACATACTCATACTCACCGCGAACTCTTCTAGAATATTGTCGTTAGTGATGACACTTGTAAGCATCTTTTTACAGTGGTTCTCTTCCAGTATACCTTCCACTAGTTGTTGCCAAAAAATAAATGTTTCCTCCTCCAGTAACATACACACTCGACTCCAGTGTTCCACGCTATTCGCAGCAACATTACCTACCCACTGCCGCCAGCCGCTTCTTTGGCAGAAGCATACTTTTAAGTTGGGGCAGAGTTCAACCAATGCGATGCAGCACCTGGCCACAAATAAAAGCTCGCAACGCTGCATCGAAGCTAGGTGCAGGCTCTTTGTCCGACTAAGGAAATGTGTTAACTGCGTTTCAGCTGTCTCTCGCAGGAATACTATTAGTGCAAGTTTGTCTTCCGCACGAGTTGCTTGCTCTTCAAGCAAAACATTCATCTCTGAGACGATGCCTTCGAGTTGTCGGTCAAATTCAGAGCATAGTGCAATGGTCGCAGCGTCGTAGCCTCTTGTCTTCATTAACAAATTCCTTACTTTGAGATCATCACTTAAGGCAACCTCCAAGCTGCACGGCAAGTCACTTACACTTTCAGACCAAATATCCCAAGAGTTCACACTAACATCTGGCAATGCATGTTCTATTGCATCGAATGTTGTTTGCATAGCTTTCTGCCAGCTGTCGTGGATAATGTCATGGATGCGTTGGTTAATAAGTGGTATGTAATTTATTTCGAAAAAATCCAGGGAATGTGAGAGTTGTAGTTTTTTTACTAGTTGATCGAAGTTTAAATGTTTTCTGTAAGCATTGGCTTCTGTTTTTAGTTCTTTGATGGTGCTCATTGTTGATACGAAATCAAAAAGTTGCTTAAGTTGAGTGCCAGCAATTTGGCGGGTATCTGAAAGCCATTGCTCAAGTGTGGAACGGATCTGTATTACGTCTAGAGATTGCGTTCCGATTTTTGGGCGAAAATTTGAAATGATTTCCGGTAATAAATACGAAAACTGTGCATCGGTACGATGCATTAAATTTAATGTGGGTGGTGCGTTAGCGTCGCTGAGTTCAGCCAGTTTTTGCAACAACAAACCGTCGTCTGAAAAACAATCCAGTTCATAAAATTTGTTATTGATATCAAAAGTGGCGGAACAAACCTATGAAGCATTTCGACATAAGATCCACCGTGCCATTTAGTATCCGCAGGCTTGCTAAAATTCGGTCTTTTACACGCCTACGCTGTTCATTAGCACCAGGATTATCTTCGCTGAGGCAACTTACAAACGCGGTACAACGAAGACTTAGAAACGTTTTGAAAACACTGTTTATTGTATTCTTATCTAGCGACAATAAGCTGAGTAAACAATCTACTGCCACATCGACGCTTAGATCTTCACGCTCTAATGCAGCCAAAGCATGTTGTTTTATGGTCACATTGAAGGGTTTTAATATTTCCCATTGTTTTTTGGCCACAGGAAGATGTTGTATCAGTGCGTTATTTGCATCCAACTGCAGTCCTGTGCTTATATGCCTGCTAAATATGAACAATTCGCTAGCAGTATAGAAACGCTCTTCGTCAATGTTCGTCCAAATTAATTCCGGCAAAGCAGTCAGAAGCTTAATCTGCACCATTGTACTGAAGTAATGATTTAATTGTTTATTTGCATTTCGATTTCGTAGTAAATCTTCCGATTCACTAGTTTTAAAACCCAACAACTGTTGTTCATTTAGCTTGCGGCAATTTTTCGTAATGGACTCAACCTGTTCGATGAGTTTCGCCGAGGAATCTTTCATAGCTACAATGGTATCCGCAGCCTGTAGCAAATCGCGGTAACGTTCACTGCCGGGAAAAACATATTAGAACAAAGTGTATAAATTAATAGCAAATCCGTCAAAGTCATACCCAACCATTAGGCGCAGCTCCTCGCGTTTGTTTTCTACTACCGACTGGATTTTCTTGTGAACGACATCGATTTCCGGGACGCTGTGCTGTTCAAATAACGTGTCTACATCGAGATTAAGTAAGTTGGCGGCATCCATTTCGCCTTTATTCATGTATTTATCTCAATAATAATACTGAAATTATCAATTATCACCAAATGTTTTGTGAAAAGAAAACAATCATTTGACACGTCGTTCACAGCTGATTGCCCGCTGCGCTATCTAGCGGCCGTTAGGTACATTCTATTGGAGAGTAGTCCTAAAACGCAGTGGAATTTAAGTAATTTGTGCAAGCACAGTCGCCGCAATAAAAAAAGGACAATTTTGTGGCTTTTGCAACTAGATTTAGCTCTTTATTTTTCTATTAACTCCGAAAATTAGGCTTTAGCTCCTAGTCTTTTTAGCTCTTTTCAAAATTATCTAGCACTTTTTTAGCTCCAGAAAGTTTTAGTGTTTTAGGTAATATATAAAAATTAAAAATCTGTAATTTCATTCTACAAGTGTTGACTAAAATTTATTTCGATACCATATTACTTTCGATACCTTCATGCTATTCTATTTCGATTAATACTTTGAAATCCCGTTCTTAATGAAAATGGCGCGCAAGCAAATGGAAAATGGGCACGCACCTAGGTTCATTAGTTTCTACGACGTGCGCGGGCGCACACAAACAATACCAGGCAATAATTCGAGCTCCAATAAGTTCCCACGAAGATTACATCGAGCCTACGTCAACTTTTGCGAAGCTGATTGGAATGGCTTGGCGTAGGTTACTGGAAGTACCTTCTCAGTCCTTCCACATCAACCGAAGTTCAAACAGGTGAGCGTACGTAACGCAGGGTTGTCAAATCCAAATTTTGAGTGACAAGAGGGCTGCACAAACTTCTAACACCCAGTGCTCCTCTTGCTTTCCCCAGCCGTGAGATTCAGGTAGCCATCGGGGAACCGAAACCCTCCAAAGCTACTGGACGTGACGGAATATGCATGCAGATGCTGAAAAAATTGGCGCTCCGGGAGCATAATATTTCAGCAGGGTACTCCATCTTTCCATGGCCGCTCTCATCGTTCCAGATATTTGGAAAACGGGGAGAGTGGTCCCACTGCTTAAACCTGGGAAACCGGCCAACAAAGAAGAATCTTATCGCCCTATATCCCTCCTTTCGCGGTAGCGAAGATACAAGTAGTTTCCATAAAGTGCACAGCACCACACCATTCGACATCGTCAGGGGTGGTGTCCTCTACCCTCTGTTGTTGAATTATTACATCTTAAAACTCCCTCAACCACCAAAGGGAGTCTCTGTGGTCTCTATGCTAACGACTGCTCGATAATAGCGTCCGGGGATGGAATTGATGACTTGTGCTCGAAAGTTTCCTCTCAGATCTTTCTCGATTCTTCACTGCACCATTTTGACCACCTGGACGAAGGGGGTCAGACTCCAGCTGGGAATTCACATCAATCGCGAACCAATTCCGATGCTGAATAACTCAAAAATTCTCGGAGTCACCATCAAAAGTCTGCTCGTCTTCTCGGTACAGAGCCGCAACAAAATTCTCAAGTCACCAGCCAGAAGCACATGGGGCAAAAACAAAGAAGCGTGGTTGGTAACATTAACAGACAATTGGCCAGCCGTTTCTGAACTATGTACCGCCACTTGTGTCGCCGGGGACTAGCAGGACGCAGTGGACGAAGCTACAGACATGCCAGAACACGGCACTGCGGACCGCAACTGGTATCGCCACGGCACCACCTTCACGTCGAGGGTCAAATGCTCATGGTGAAGGAACGCAACACGATGCTCTGTAAGCAGTTCTTAGTAGGGTGTCACAGACGCGGGCACCCGAACAGACACCTACTTGCAGCAGGGCCCTCGCTTACGACTGACGGAGTTCAGAGTCCAGAGTTTCATAAAATATCGTCTGGACCCAACAGAATACCGGCAGACCATAAACGGCATTCACAGGGAGTTGGTCCCGACCTGCGAATGTCGTTTTGGGAACACAGCCACCTGACGTGGACGAGACAGAACTTCGTCTGCCTGGGGAGACCCCATGGAATAATCCAGTCGGAGTTGCACGCTTTCTGGGTCTCCCGTTAGGTGAGTTCCGGGACAAGCTGATCTAGGTAAAACTAAGTAATTACCGTCCCTAAATTGGCGCGTCAAGCGCCAAACAACTGTTAAAATCCCCATGCCCGTACAATTTGTATGGAGCATCCTACAATAACGCAGCGCTAGCTCCGAGCAAATGGAATTTTCTTTTTTTGACAGGGCGTTACGTATTGAAGTTGGATGCAAAAGACGGAAAGAAGGAGAAAGGACAAAAAAGTGTAAGAGGAAAGGAGAATAAAAATTAGAGGAAATGAGAAATCGCCAAAAATTACGCCGCGCTGATTTGGGGATACCGCGCGCTGACGCTGGTTGGCAATGGAAAACGCAACGTTTAGCGCTCCAATTTACGGACGGCAGTAAAGCCCTGTATGCAGCTCTCAAGAAAACGGTCAAGAAAAAATTGCCATTATTTCGCGTGTGTGTCCAAGGAATTTTGACATTTTTGATACCTCACAGCCTGTTGCCTCACTCTTTCCTCAAGAAATAATGGAACGGGCATATATTTCTGTTGCAAGCCTGGGTTGCCTTGTGCTCTTTTTTCACAAAAAAACTTTAGAAAACCGTAGTAGAAAGCCAGAGCTGTAAAACTGTGAAATCATTTGAAATTAAAAATCATCAATTTTATATTATTAAGTTTTCATTGAATTCTCCCTTATTGAATAATGCGGCTTGTAGTTTTCCAATTCTACATTCACTCAAAGTAGATACGATTGCACACATTTCCATATTCAAAGAAAGATTGAAAAAATTGAATGACGAACGATTCACTTTTAACACTGAATAAGCACTCAGATGAATGCAGCTTTTGCTATGTGTGCACACATCCACTCAGTACCAATCAATTGATATAAATATTTTGAACACACAAAACCCTCTGAAAAATACGCCAGGTTGCATTTTATTAAAAAGACTGCAAAATTTCAACACGAAAAATAGTTAATAGAGCGTTATCATCAGTTTTTTTTCACTTAAATTTGTACAAGGATTTATAAGAATAAAAAATATTAATTGGAGAAATATTTTTTAGTGAACGTGTCGTTAGAATGTCATTATGAAAAATATAAATTATTAATGATTTTAACATCTCTGTTTAGAAAATTGTCAGCTTTCCAAATAAGTGTTACCAATACACCATTAATAATGCATAATGCATAAATTAGTACATACATATATAAGTTAATATAAACTAACAAATTTAAGAGCTTCTGGTTCTAAATTTAGACATACATATACATTTCATTATTTAATTATAAAAATGTTTGATACAAATTTCTTCGTACTTTTTTTCGTCGCTATTGGGTCAAGCAGTTAATAAAGATTCGAAAATCGAATTCGTTGGTTTGTGGAGGTTTTTTCATTTACAATAAGCCACAAATTATCAACATTTCCAACAAAAAAAATATTTAACAAAATTCGTTGGTCCCTATTTTCATTAACATCCTTTTCCGAAAGTGCAATATTTAAGAATTTATACCCATTTCATTGAGCACGCTTTTTAACCCAAGTTTTGGTTTGTTTGTTAACATCAAAACTACATATCGACACCTAAGTGGAAGATCGACCTATCTCGGCAGCCAGTTCGAAAACTCCCTATCTCAAAAAACTGTTCTAGAACACCCTATTTCAGAATTTTGTTGAAGAACGCCCTATCTCAGAATGCGGTTCAAAAACGCCCTACCTCGGCAAATTTTCAATATATTTTCATTTGAGATAGGGCGTTCTTCAACCAAATTCTGAAGTAGGACTTTCATAAAAAGTTTTCTGAGTTAGGGCGTTTTTGAATTGGCTGCCGAGATAGGTTGATCTTCCAATCAGGTGTCGGTATATTAATAAAAAATGATTAAACATTGTCTGCTGTAACCTATTTTAGAAATAATTTATTTATTAGGTGTTGCAATTTGAAAAAATTAGTTCCTTCCAATTTTGGGAATCAAACGGGACTCCACACAAGCAAAAATAGTTTTCTACAATCTTTATTAACCTGAAGGGCTAGACAACAAACAACCGCTATGCGAACAAAGTTATAATACCCATGTGCACAAATGCGCTCGGGTGTAATTATTTCTTAAAACATTATTCTAAATGTATGTTTTGAGCAAATTGATTTCAAAAGTTAGAAATATGTCCCATTTTTTCAAAAATGTATAATAATAAACATGTGACTTTTTTAGCAATTTGTTTTCTGTAATTAAGGAAATATTGAATTTTTTGAATTTTTCGAAATTACCGTTTTATGGGAGGGACCAGGTTATGGTTTAATTTTTGTATTTTCAATACGCTTCTGCCCTGCATAAAGGGAAACCCGCGTACCGAATTTTCTTCCGATATCTCAATTTTTCCTAGAGTTATCGTGTACACAAACAAACGGACAGACAGACAGACGGAGATGGACTAATCAACTTCTCTTTTTATTCTGGGCATTTACGGTATATACATACGTATGTACATAAATGTAGTATATATCTATCTCGATTTTGGTTGTTCCAAATATCCGTTACGTGAGAAAAGTTATAGTACCCTACTGCAGAAGTGCGTAGTAAATATGTTTAAATAGTACACCTTTTAATTAATAATTAATAAAAAAAAATTTTACAATGTAACTCCTCAACCCCTCTTTAAAGAAAACAAGAATCCTATAAAATTTCGTTTTGAAAGTTTTCAAATTTGATAACTGAAGAAAAAAATTAATAGAAAAATAATCATACAAATTAAATTTATATATACATATATTCTGCGAAAAAATGTCTACAATCAATTTTTAAACCCTTTTCGCAATTGGTGTACTCTTGTAACCGGTAAATTTTGTTACCATCTCATAAGCTGGTAACAAAATATTGCCCCGCCCCGTGAAATATGCAATGCCAGAATTTCCACAATTCTTCATGGATGAATTGCTGAATATATAGCATTACCAACGTTCCTAGAATCGCGGTGACATGAACAGGTAACATTTTTTTTGGTAATAAAATTTTCCGGTTAAAAAATCTTCGGTTACGTGCAGAATAGACCTTTTATAGTTCTAAAAGTCTATAATACGAAGGGACAGATGCCGGTAATGAAATTCTTAAGTTTTTTCAAGCAAGAGTTTTAAAAACTCAATTCTATTGACACTGTTTTATATTTCTATATACAGTTCACTAATTTCGAATGTAATATATGTAAATGTATGTATCAAGATGTGTCCTTTGTGCTCGACGGTTGCGATGTTTGTTTGGACTGATTTCGCACCAGTCATTAGCCATGGGTTAATGTCAGAAAACGTCTATACATACGCGTTGAAATACATACATACGTATACATATATGTTTTTTTTCAATTCCAGATATGTTTAAACTTTAAAGTATAAAATATTTCAACCCTGGGAAAAAAGTATTAGTACTGAATGGTAAAAACGTGTGCATTCATTTTAAATATACAATCATGTGTGTGTGCGAATGCTTCTGTTACATTCACAATCCATACTGAATGTCAATCTACCATTCAAAAACACAACACAGTTTATTTGTTTTCAAGCATTTTAAGCCACTCAGGAATGAGGCTTTTTTTATACAAACAAACAATCAAAATTTTGAAAAGAATGTCGAGTGAATGCAGATCCTATTGATTCAATCATTTTACAGCTCTGTAGAAAGCGTAGTAAATTTCTTAAAAACTGCGTACTGCCTTAAGGAAATTTGACTCAAGAAAATTTCTTAGCCATTTCTTGTACGTCATTTTATATGGAGTTTTTGCTTTTCTTGAGAGCTGCATACAGGCCTTAAGCCTCTACAACAACAACAACAACAGACTTCAATGTTTTTGCATTGTTCCCATGGAAGTTGAAGGCTCAGTTATGCATACTTGGCATTGCATGGGAGTTGTCACATAAGGAATCTGTTAAATATGCTTTGCGTGTAAGCGGTTACCCAACGTACAGCATTACATATGTGAAAGTCTGTTGGTTTTTGATTTCTACGTAAAATGTCATGCTATGCAGTGCAGTGCAAATTATGCATAACTTAACCTTAAGCCAAAATATATGTATCTACGAAACTCAATAGAACTAAAGAATGGAGATCTCCCAAAATGCGGGATAAAAGTGTACTACCTTTAACATGATCTCGTAGCAATAACCGAGATTTGTAGGTTCTATACCCCAAGAGAACAATAAAGTTGTAATCCTTCAGATATGATTTTAGAGCAATACATTGTTGAGGGATTCACAACGGAGTCGTAAGTGCCGTATAGTTGTATGTCATAAACTTTCAAAGCTTAAATAAATGTTTAGAGAACTTAAAACCACAACCACACTGCGAAAATTCATAATATGACTTTGATGATACTTTGCGAACCCTCTTAATATATTTTTAGGCATTTAAAGTTTACGACATACAACAATACGACGCTTACGACACCGTTGTGAATACCCCATATATTTTGCACTCCTTTGGTACTCGCTAGGTAGCAAAATAAGAGATCTTACAAAGGTAGCAATAAAAGACTGGACCTTTCGGACTTTTTCGACACAATTAGAGAGATATGTGTTTTCTTACTCATTAGTTTACTCAAAGTTTGAAGAAAAAAGGGCATTATGCACAAAAACTGAGCTTCAGGTAAAATAGAAAACCCTAACAAAAAATTAAATGAATAAAATAGTTTTGCTGTAGAGACTCAAAATATTTTGATTGAAAACGAAATTTCTTTCTCCCAAATACTACAATTTATTATTTTTTTTTTATAAAATTTGCAAAAGTTCAACGTAAAAGATAGCAAGGCACCATGAATTATCTCATACAGCGCGGAAAGGTTCGCAATCAGATGATCAATGTGCCGCAGGGATTGCCTGAACTCTTGTCGGACATCACACGAGAAGTTCTGCGCTGCCAGCCCACCACCGAATGCCTTTGCCAATTCATCATCGACTACCTTCATTCGGTGATCGTGACTCGCGAGAAAGCCAGAGGTAAAATATTAATTTTCTCCTTTCCCATATCAAATATATCTGGAATGCAGTGGCCAAAAGCATCATTGATCGCGCACTGGCGGTGGTGGACGAAATCATTGCGGACATGTGCGTCTGCGATATCAGCAAGGACAAGGCGCAGGAGATGTCAATGCATATGGAGGAGTGCTTCCGACGTTTCCTCAGTCGAATGCGTTGCGAGCAGCGAAAGGATATCGAAGTCGTGCGATTCGAGGAGCAGGACATGCTAAATGCGATGATCGAACGCTGCAAATTCACTGAGCAGGAATTGAGAATTTCCAAACCCATGATTGAGGCTGCCTATCGCCGTTTTATCGATGCCTATATGAAGGCTCATGAGGTTTGTATGCTCATGTTGTGCGGAAGTTGGAATCCGAATATGTTTCCATTTGTTTTGTCAATCTATTTACACTGCAAAGGACTTTGGAGGTACTGAAGAGCTATATCAGCACTTTAAGCAGCGTGAACTCAGCCGGCAGGAAGAGGAGAAGGAAAAATCGGCCGCCACTAAAATTCAGGTTTGGATATACAAATAGCGGAAAGCTCAATGCGAACTTAAATGGGTTTTTGCATATTTCAGGCTAACTTCAGAGGTTACGTAGTGCGGAAAACCTTAGGCAAACCCAAGGGTAAAATGGTGACTGAGGAAGAGGTGAGCATAGACCTAAAGGGAAATAAAGGGCTTCATACACGATATGAAATCACGAAATTAATGTTTTACTCTAATATTAGATGAACGTGGACTTAGACACACAAAATGAAGCGGCAATTACGATTCAAAAAGCTTTTCGCCGCCACGCGGCTTCTTTAGAATCTAGAGCTAGCGCGGAGAAAGTAAATATGTCAGTTATATTCATTATATTTTAGTCTAACATCTTTTTAGGATGATGGGGCATGCGAGCCTGGGTCTGATATAAAAGTTGTAAGTAAAACTTCTTATCCAGCGACTGAAGAGGTTATAGAAGCTGTACTTTGTTTCAGGCTGTTCCTGGTACAGTCGAAGAAGTTCCTATGGAACTCGCAGATCAGACTATAGTAAGCCGACTCTTCTGAACACACAATTCATAAACTTTGTACACTGTATCACTTTTTATCTCAGGAGGAAAGTGTATCACTTGAAGCAATTCAGCCATCTCAGGCGATTGAGCTCGAATCAGAAGCGCCGCCAGAGCCGCAACCAGAGCTAGAGCCAGAAACTGAACCAGATCGAATTTCGGAGCAGAAAGCTATCTTGGACGCGGAACCGGAGCCTATAAGCGAAAAGGAGCAAGGGTCGGCCGCATCGGAACCCGAACAATCTGAAGCTCCACCAGAAGCTAGCGGAGCAGCAAACGAAGAAGACGTAGCTGAGGAAGTTCCGGCTGCAGTAGGAGGGGAAGTCCCCACTGAAGGCTGAATTGTCGAAGGCTTGAATTTACAATAAAAATCACAGTTTGTTTATCACCTTACACTACATTTGTACATGCATACATACACACATATTAACCCCACGAAGAGGTCCAATAAAGAGCCATTGGCGTACACTTACAATAATCGTTTCGTTCGTTTTGGGAGTTTAAAATGCTTGTGAAGATATGCATGTGAATTTTTAAAGTTTCCGTAAACTCTCCCCTCAACTCTTAACATTTAAAGGCATTCACTGATTTTCTCCGCCCGTAGCTTGTGCGGCGGTAGCCAACGATATTCATATGCGATGTCATAAAAATCCGGTCGACTTATTTTATGAACCGTATTATTAAATTGTCCGCAAGCACATTACAGCAACCCCCAAACTGCCGTCTGGGCGCGCCAAAATTGTTAGCAGGAGACGACAAAGTCAGTATTTTAAAACGAATGTCCTTGAAAGTTGGATATGTGTATGCACATATGTACATACAAAAGTCCATAGCGAGGGTAAGGAAATGAATATTTTCAATGGATTCATAATTTAAGTTTATTGCAAGGATAACAACCCAATTGAGGCACGCAACAACCCATACATGAAACATAATTTTTTTTATTAAAAATGGAAAGTCTACGTCTATCTTAAGATATGCATTTTGTGCGCACGACGATATATGGATTTTCTAGTTATGAGTGTGTACTACTTAAAGGGCATGTGTGTGCGAACTTTAACTGTAATCGCGCCTGTATCCAATCATCGAACACAGAAACTCTTGTGTACACGTCCGGTATGACACTGAAGACGCCACAAATGAAGAGTCCATACGATACAATGCCAACTTGATGGAGCCCCTCTTCAGTTTTCATAACGAGGGGTCCGCCAGAGTCACCCTGTATAAATTAAATTAAAAATCCAATTCTAATAATAATTCAGAAAATGTATCCTTTAGAACTTACCGAGCAGGCGCCTTTAAGCAGACGGCCGCGAGCGCATATCTCCGTGTCAGTGAGGTCTTCCATCCCACTGTTTTTGCATTCCTGGTTTGTAATGGTGTGATAGTTCATGGTTTGCAAGGTGGTCGGGTAATTGACGTTGTCCAACTCCGGAGGCAGGAATGGCAGAGGCATTGGCAAACGCAAACCCCAGCCCGTCAAGGTGACTGGCACTCCCCCGCCCACCTGCTCAGAACCCCTAACGTCAATAGCTGCCATTCGTACTCCATCCAAATTCAGCGGTTCGACTAGTGTCAGGATAGCTGTATCACTGGTCACAAGTTCTTCGTAGTTTTCGTGAATATCGTAGGAAGCTACCTGCACTCGCACACCTTCCGAGTCGTTAAGGTCGCGAACGCCGGCCAGCACTGTCATCCGCTTCACATCAAAGCCATTGCAGCAGTGAGCGGCGGTCAAAATACGGCTTGGTGCTATAATGGAGCCGCCACAAAAGTGTTGGTACTTATTCTTTTTAGTAAAATACTGTAGGGATACTTGGTAGGGAACATATTCCCCAGGAGGCACGTCATTACCACCAACAATGCGCGTTGAGTCTGCGGTGCTTCCTAAAAAAATTAAGTGTAGAAGGGGGCAACTGAGCGCAAATGGAAGAGTGAGGAGAGGAGCTTTACATACCGTAAACCAGCGAAACCAAAACATTTAAAAAAGTAATCGCGTAGAAATTTAGTTCCATTAGCATCGGTTCGAGGCGAAATTATTTTCAGTCTAACTAACAGTTTGAATTTTAAAAGTACTTTGTATGGATTTCAAATTAAAACGCGACTATTTATAGTTCAGAACATTTAGTATAACCATTGCAATTACATAGTTGTGAGCAATTAGCGTGCTGAGCAGTGCGACCTCACAACCGCCGACTGCAACATTTGCATAGCTATCAGATAGGTCAGGGCGGAGGGCTGCACTTGAAATGCATGCGAAGGTTTCCCTTCGGTGATTATGCTGGTTAGAATTTACTTGCAGCAACAAAAACTATTTAAATTACTTGAGTATATTGGGTGCCCTGTAGGAAATACTTTTAAGTAGTAAACGATTTTCAAATAATTCTGTTGTTACTTTGTCATTCTCACTGACGAAAATCAGAAGCACCAACGCGGGTATTTTTCCGCCGAATTTCTCTCGGGCGGCCCAGACTGCTGCGCCAAACGATATCGTCAAAGTCACATGCGACGAAATATACGAAGAGGAACACGTTTATATTTGTCCCTATGTTACACTCTTTGGATTTTCTTTCCCATCCACTAGGAATGTACTCGGATATGCATGCAAATGTTTATGTGGTTGTATTGTCCCAGCAAAAAAAATCGACTAATTCGAGACGACTTCGGGAGCAATCGAAAAGGAATGAACTGATCGCCTTTGGTTTAGCGTAAGATTAATTGTTCCCCTTCATAGCCGACTTGGTATAAAAAGCAATAGTCGCTTTTAAAAAATAAATCTAAAAACTTGAGCCAGCTGCGATTCGAAGATGCCAACGTTGCACATTAAATTTCATTGACTTAGTGCCTACATACATAGCATTAAATCGTTTATTGTATCCATAAGAGATTAGTCGGGGACTAATTAATGCCAAATTATACCCCAATGAGGCTAATCCCGGTTTTAGTTGGAGATAAATCCGACGAATTGATTTATGCAAAAAAAAATTTAGCTACATTTTTTTGAGTTGCGTCTCTTTTCGAAACTTCACCACACTGTTGGAGCACTCCATATGTATAGTCGGCTGAAGGAAAGATCGCCCTATCTCGGCTGGCAGTTCTAAAATGCGCTATCTCAATTTAAATTAAATACATCGGCAGCTGAGATAGAGCGTTCTTCAACCAAATTCTCAAGTAGGGCGTGCTTGAGCCATTTGCTGAGATAGCGCGTTTTTGAACCGGCAGCCGAGATAGGGCAATCTTTCAACCAGCCTTCGATATATGAATAGAAGTAATAACATAAATCCATAGATCATTAATTATATAGTTTTATAAACAGTTCTGTTGCTGAGACCAAAAATAAAACAATTTTAAAATAGTTGATCCAAAAAGTTTAATTCAATTCCATTTCAAAAGGTTACAAACTAGAACTTTCTTTCAAGCCAGGCGCTCTTTAATCCACTCATCAAATATAGACACACGAGTGTAAACATCTGGATTATTAGATGCACAAAGCGCCGTACCATAGGAAACCACGCCAACCTGCTTCAGGCTATCACCATTCTCCATCACTAGCGGACCACCGGAATCACCCTACAAAAGCATTTCATAAAAATTCACTTCTCAGGATCACTCGCTTTTTCCATACATACATTACACGCTCCTTTGCCGAACCGCTCCAATGCACAGATCTCCGTGTCGGTCAATTGAGTCATCACCTTTTTACACTCATCATTTGTAATCGTTTTGTAGGACATGCGCTGCAGCAATGTCGGGTAAACCGCCAATGGTCCTTGACCCACATGCCACATAGCACCCCAACCGGTAAGGGTGACAGCTTGCCCACCATCGACTTTATCGGTGCCACTCACATCGACTTTGTCCAACTTGGCGCCGTCCAACTCGAAAGCCGGTTCGATCTTCAGAATGGCAATGTCACTGGTCACCAACTCCTCATAGTTCTCGTGAATTTCATAGGACAGCACCTGCGATCGAATACCAGTGCTGTCGTTGAGGTCACGAATACCCGCCACAACAGAGATGCGCTTGGCGTCCTGGCCGTTGACGCAATGTGCTGCTGTGAGAATGCGATTCGGTGAAATTATAGAGCCGCCGCAAAAGTGACGATCCTTGCCACTGCGTGTGCGATACTGCATAGATACTTGGTAGGGTACATGCTCGCCATCGGGCACTGCGGCGCCGCCAACCACCCGCTCTTGGGAGTCGAAATCGTGCGACTCGAAGTAGGCATCCACTGCGTGGTGGTAATTGGTGAAAATCACATTTCTACATACAAACAATTCTATAGTGTTTATTCACTTACAGTCTAAAACGTCTCCTTTGTAGCGACTCGGATTGGTGTGGCCAGTTCCCAGCAAACAGAGCGAAATCAGTACTATTCCAATTCTAGGTCCCATTTTTTTGCCACGATTAGAAAGCGGAATGCGGTTTAGTTCTTTCATTTTTCGTATCAACTAGGCGTTTATATACTAAAATCCACAAGGCAGCAATGTGCAGTCGCTTTTTGTGGATTGTTAATCGCGAGCAGTGGGCGGTAACCAATTTGCATAAGCTTAACTTAGCATGACCTGAATTTTTTAATTACATATTTCCAAGCTTTAATTTGAGGAGCGCTTTTGTAAGGTTGTCTAGCTGATGGCTCGGTGCTTTCTTAGTTCCATTGCCAATAATTTTTCATTTTGTTGGAATTTATTAGACGATCATATAGACTTTTTCCGGATATACTTGTTATATGCAGAGGGACGCAACAAGTATTGATAGTAGGGTGATCGTATAGGTTTTTCACACCCGTTTTCAATCGAATTTTTTTAATATTTTTAGGCGTTTTTTTGTCATCTTGATTTTTCGAATATTCAGTAAACCGGATTTTTACAACCGAATAAACCGTGTTTTCACCCAGTGTTTTAATAAACTAGAATCTAAAAATTCTAAAAATTTATTGAAAATTTAACCGAGAATTTTTTATAATTTTAATTTAAATACTGCAAAATTTCCAAAGGCAGAAAATAACTTCAAAAATAAAATGATAACCGAACTGAAGAAGTCTGATGATGAGATGTGGTGATCTCCGAAATAGCAATTCTTCTGCAATTTTTAACCGACTTCACAAAAGGAGAAGGTTATCAATTCGTCGGAATATTTTTTTTTTTTTTTGTGTATGTTACCGCATAACTTTGGACCATTCTTGATTCTCGATGAATGTCCACTTACAATCTACTATACATATATTTATGTATGTATGTAAAGTTGGTCTGGTTCAGCAATTAGCGTGACAAAGGGGCTGCTGTTTTAGCGATCGAATATTGTAAAAGCTATTATGTATTTTTAGCAGTTATATTGTAGTTGATATGATTTCCGACTAAAAGTATTACTGCATTGAAAATATTTAAAATATAGCCGGTTTATCAGGATTTTCCTTAATTTCGAAATGGGGCGCCGGGTTTTTCAAATTCCGCCATGAAGATACAGGCATAGATTCAAATTGGTGCATAAAATGCGTAAGATGAAGACGTTACGAATCCAAGACTTTAAATCAGAGGTGGGCAGCTTCAACAGAGAATTTTTGTAGTGTACGTGCAATTGATGTCACTGTGTGCGTGCGAACAAGTCGTGGACTCGAACCCACTGACATCCTACCAGTTGCTGGCGGGAGTACACACACACACACGAAGAGCGAGGTCCACGTTTGAGTAAATGGTTTGAAATTCTGCAGCTCTTAGTCATTCCAACAAACTGATAGCACTCTTCCGATCCTAAATTTTTATATTGCACCGGGCACGAAAGTGGAGATATTCTTCTGCAAAATTGCCTTCTAATTCTGCAGAAGAAACCAGTTGTAATGCTTTTGTGTTTTCTTCGACTTCAACCATATAGCTTTTAAAGGTTAAGTATCGCAGTTTCGAGTTTACGCGCATTTACTTTGGGTCGTGCGTGTTTTGTCACCATCAGTGTATTTTTTACCATATTGGCCGCCGTAGGTACGGGCCTATTCGGCCCTAGGTCAAATCCGCCACTGTACATACATTCCTAATGTGACCAACTATTCCACAGCTCAAAGAAGTACAGAAACAGAAAACCGAAAATAGTATGAAAGTAATGAGAAAATCGTAAAAGCAGATTATGCGAAAACGGTAACAGTGTACCAATTCAACAAATAAATTTTATTAATTAAAAATGAATATTATTTATGTATTATTCTAAAACAAAGCGCTTATTCCCAGCGATCTACTAATCGCAGAGGTAACTCATGTATCAAATTAAATTCTTTTCTTATCTAAAGTGCGACTTACTTTTATTTGGTTCTCGAAGCATTGATCCATTATACGCAAGGCCCAGTAATCAGCGTTTGTGCTGAGGAGTTAGGTGAATGTTCCAAACGTTGCTTTTCAATTGCTTGTTTAGTAAGAGAAAAGGTTTCACTTGTAAAAAGATTTTTAGAATTTATTATTTTTTTTTTGCGAGAAGAAACTAAAAATGTTTGACATTTTAGAGACCGAATAATTTGAACAAAAAAAAAAATAGATCAAATCAGCTGCTCCACTGATTCGAAGTACGAAGTACAACGGCTCAAAAAGGAGTACTGTACTTCCGAAATCAGTACGGTTGGTCACATTATATATACCCCACAATTCAACCTTGACTATTTGTCAAAACTTTTGCGCCTAAAACTATGCGGCTAAGATTTGTCTGTATTTCTGGTTTGAATCTGTCTATTGTGACTACTTATAATAATTTATAAAGGAGTCCAACTCTAAGTTGAACATAACCAGGACAGAAAAAAGTATTTAGAGCTCTAGCAAATATAACACTGAAGATTGAGTGGAATTACCAGAATCAAACTAAGTAATCGGAAGTCACTTATGGTTACATTCACAAGCGTATCTGCGGTAAAGACGTATACCCCACCCGCCTTCACTCATACGCAGATACCGGGGCAGCACTGTAGCCAACCAGCTCAATCAATTGAATAAAATTGTCAGCATATAAACGTATGTAGTAAGTAACACCAGATTACATATATACTCTGTGCATTGAATGTAGCGAACAAAAATCTTTAACTTTCAGCGGGCGTCACAGATTGTGGCTTTTTTGCGCTGATAAAAGGGCACCTTAAAGCAAGCAGATGACACCGAGAGACGCGGCAGTTGCAGTGAAGATGGCCAATGTGATTGCGAGTGCGGACTCGTGATGGCCAAGTGCAATTGCTGCACTCGGCAGTGTTGGGGCAGAGTTATTGTTAAGTGTTGTAACCTTTACACTACGAGTGTGCCACATGCTGAGCGCAATATCAAGCTGAGCGCTGGCCAACCAACAACACTACTGAATAAAATTTATAAACAAAAGGTGCACAGCGCGAACTGGATTCATGATACGGTTTTTGTTTTCATTCCACATATACATATACATACATATTTACATATTCCTGCAATATTCTTCCTGGCTAAAGTACTCACCGCTGCTGCGGTAGTGGTGCTGATAGCGTTGTTGACAGTCGCACTTTTAGAAGTTTGTCGCGGGCTAGCTACTCGGGGAGTGAGGAGTGGAATATTTTCTCATACACACCCAGCAAGCATAAGAAATTTGGCAGATTCACGCGAACTGCAGCCAACAGATTCATGAATTAACCAGAAGGGATTGAGTAATTAAAGAAACACGCCGTTTTATTTCGCTGTGGTCATTGCTCAAGCCAGCGATGAGCTCAAATAAGAGAAGATAACAGACACAACAACAGTGACAACAAAATCAGTAGGCAAATTGTTCGTTTCGGGTGGCATTTCAATTGCAATTTACCGAGAATGACACCTACACACATTTCCAGCAGCAGCCCATGCAGCGACCACCTTCATTGCACTTGCATATATTCATACATACATACATACATACATACTTAGCACGTTGAAAGCAACAACGATGCAAGCCAACGCTTTCCTACAAATGCAAGGAAGAAGAAGAAGCATTGCACATACCGATCGATGGCCATGGCTGATGGTGCGACGTCGATCGATTCACCACTGCCGTCCAATTCAACAACACAGCAATTTTAATCAGTGAAATAGTAATTTAAATATTCTGATTTCTGATCTGAATTGAGCCCAGCTACCAGTCGTCGGCCGGGCTTGGGCAAATCAAGCCAAAGGTGTCAAATCGGCAGGCCGCCATCGAGCATACTTCGCATGCGGATTCGGAGCATTCTGAGCGCGGCGGGCCGAATTAATTCATTCATTCATGACTTGGTTCCGTTGAAACACTAAACCAGTGGCAGCAGTTAGCGGGGCGAATCAAGGGGGGGACGGTGCTGGCGACTGCTTGACGATGCAAATCAACAGCCAATAAGCAACGTACGGCTTCCTCTACTTCGTTCCGTATCTGTGCGCCCGACATTGCTCTAGCAAAGCGAGTGTGTGGGTTGCATGATATGTGCCCGCGTTGCATGCAACATTAGCTGTCCGTTACTAATGAATCATTTTATTGTGTTGTTGCTGATGGGATACGACTTCTGCCGCAGCGGATTATTGCTACTGTTTTCTGCAGTGTGCTTGAGGATCACTGCGGGCTACCGCAGGGACGCACGCGAGTATTTTTCGCGAATTAATTATGCACACCTTCGTTCGCTTCCGAAACTGTTTTGCTGTGTGTGCGCGCTCTTCCGAACTTCTCTTCACTTGCCTTCTTGCTGCCACATGTGCTGCGGTGCGGGTCTTGATCTCTGCACCACTGTGTTAATTGCTGGTTCGGCCTGCCCACCCGTCTAGTTGATTGTACAATCGTGGCAGCGACGGTACGGCGATACAGACGCAGGCGCAGATAAGAACATTCGAATGGCTTTATTTAGTGTGAATTTGTTGAAGTTTTGGTTGGAGGTGCCTTGTTTGCTGCCTTTTTTCTTTCAAAATGCTTTACTCGGACACTTGATGATGGTGTAGTATCAGTGTCAGGATTCTTAATCCTTTGAGACTTAATTGGGCCACACAGCGCCATGTTTACAGTGTTGGTTTAATGAAACCAAACTAATTTGCATATCAAATAAAAAAAATGAATGTGGCTTAAATGATTAGGAGTTTAATTAACTTAGCGGGCATGTAATGCAGTTTGCTCGAAAGGACCACACATATGAAGTTAATGATTACCTTTTGTTATTTCTTTAATTGATTTTTAAATTCCAATACACAACCGAAAGCCAAATCCAAAGGAACTACCCACTAGAACTTGAAGTGAGATCTGCCAATGTGAGTATTAGAAGAGTACTCCTTTTGGCCTGATTTCGGAGCAATAGGGGAGATTTGTTGGTTCTGACCTCCTTTGTAACTTGCTTAGGAGTCAAGTCGAAGATCTCCTAAGTGAGCAGCAAAATAATACTCCCTGAGGCATGATTACGGAGCGATAACTGAAATTTGTCGGTTTTGTACTCCGTTATTGCTCGCTTAGGAGCAAAAAGCGATGTCTCCTAAGAGAATAATCCAGGAGTATTCCTTTTGATTAATAGTCGAGCTATAGGCACCTCTTTCAATAGAATTTGTATATTATTGGAAAAATTTATCATAAGGAAGACTACAGAAAATATTTCATATAGAAACAATATAAGGAGGGTCCAATAATTAAATGTCGATAGCACACATTTAAGTGAGGTTTCGTCGGTATGTATTGCAACCGTGGGTTAAATTTATTAAATATTCTATTATATAACGCTGAATACTTTTCAGATTGGGCTAATTAGTATCAACACTTACGTAGGATTCCCTAGTTTTAACGTTAATGTAATGCCGGTCCAGAGCTTTTACTGGGTGACATAGATATCACCGTAAATATTATGCCATTGGAAAACGGTTTAACACGGTTCAATGTGATCATATTGTGCATCTTTTACGACCCATTAGAATTTCAAAATCGAAAAATTTATTTTTTTTCTCCTCCCTTATGTAGTATATAATAAAAAATATATTTTGAATTATTTTTTTCTATCATACTTATAACCCGTATATCCCACGCATCTGTCCACACCGTAGTGATGCTCCTTTCGTCTTCCACTTCACTTACTTTCTCTTCCTCATGTTAACACCACTTTTGGAGCATACATATAAAACCGATTTGTATCAGTGAATATTTTGAATAAAGAAAAAAAAGTAAGTGGGCCTGGGCCACACTGGAGAAGTGAAACTTACGTTACATACATATCCCTCTTGTCCCATAACCAATATACTTACATACATATGTACACACATACTACATCTGTTTTTGCTTAAGGTTATATTTTTTGTCTTTTTTCTATCTAGATACCTACCTCTACCCCTGTTCGTTCTAATTACACTTATGTTATTCTGTTTTCGATAAAAATGTCGATAGCAAAATCGATAATAATATTGGTAGCAAAATCTATTAGAAACTCGATAAAAACATCGATAAAAATATCCATAACAAAATAGATAAAAATATCCATAACATAATCGATAAAAATATCGATAAATATAGGTAAAGAACGATAACCAAATCGATAAATATCGATAGGAAAATCGATTAAAATATCGATAACAAAATCGGTAAATATCGATAAAAGTATCGATGAAAGTATCCAAGTAAAAATATCGACAGCAAAATCGAAAAAAATATCCATAACAGAATCGATAAATATCGATAACAAAATCGATAAATATTGATAACAAAATACACCGTTGAACCGTTGCACCATTTCCGTGTGCAATTTCCGTTGAATTTGCCAATTTGCCTCCTTTTCCCATATGATTGACATGAGCTAAGAAATATTTAGTAGTGTTTAGCTTTCCCTCAGAAATAGGAAATTTTGGTTTAAAACGCTTTTGCAGAACGTGTAAGATATGCTTTTGTTTTATGAAATATGTTTTTAGAACATACGCTGAAGAGGGATGTTAGGACTTGTGAAATGAACTGTCAGTGTCAGAATTTTCTTTAATTTATACACACAGTGCCATAGAACTTTATATACATACGTTTGTATGTATGTATGTAAGTCTGCATTTTACCCCATTAACCCTAAGCCTTTAAGCTGTTTGTAGCTTGTTTGTGGTGCTGCCTTTGAGGTTTAATCATAAGTTGACATAGCCGCTAATCTCGTGCCTATCTACATAGTTACATACATATGTATGTATGTTGGCATGTAGTATGTATGTGAGCTCGTTCCTTTTACCTCCTTTAATGTTCACTGGCATTGCGCTTTCGCATACAGAATATATACAGACATACGTACATGGGTATGAAGTATGTATGTATGTAGTTGTGTAGTTTACAGTCCTGGCATGAACTTGTTGGGCCGCTTTGAGCGCCTCGTTTGTTTGCTTTTTCTCTTTGCGCTGTCAACTATGTAGCAGCTAATCTTGCCAAGCTGGCGCTTTGTGCTTTGTGGGCACACAGCCCAGTTAATGAATGTCAAAGCTGATTTTTTAATCCTTAATATAAGCATTTTTTATAATAAAATGTAATACTTGTCATTTAAAAAATTCGCTGAGTCGTTTAGGCCTTAGGGGGTCACTAGAAATGTATTTACTATACGTAGAGTCGGCATTAGAGTAGAAGCCTTAGTCAGGAAGATATTGATGTGTAAGGGGAGCCCAGGAATCACAGAAGTATACTCAGGAAATATTTTGGGTCAACTCAAGGTTGTGCGTGAAGTTGAGCTCGTTGAAAATTCCTCTAAAAAAATATTTTTTCCGATATAAAAAATTTATAGTTGAAATTTTATTTCTAGCAAATACCATTAGATCAGAAGAATATGTTGATGTTTAGTGTGTGTTATGATTGGAGGAAACTAGCTGTGCTCCACTTAACATTTTCTTAGGCCCGTAAGTCACCGTATGTAATCATCAAAAACAAAAGCACTCTCGGCCATCCGTTGTTTTCTAATTTAACGACTTTGCAAATTACCGTGAAGTTACAATTATCCTGTAGAAATTTAGTTAATTCAGTGAAACGAACCTCTGATAATTTTTTGCTCGGCAGTAGTGGGTTGTGTCTCCAAACCGCCGGGTCTTTTAGTTAGAATGTACCCATTGACATGTGTAATTTTTGCAACGCTGACAATGCACTCAGTGGCGCTGGTTACTGAAAACCGGGAATTTATTAAAGGTACATTAAATTAGACGCGTGCAAAAAAAAAAAACCTATTAACAATTTCAACTCGTAGCCGTCAGCAAGCTGAGAGAATCTAACGGCACCCTGAATGGCGTTTTGCCATTCGCGGTTCCCTTTCACGCTTCGATACAGGTCAATCTGATAACAGGATACAAACATTTGTGCGGTGGCAGCATCATTCACGCACAGGTAATTATGACGGCTGCGCACTGCTTTTACGAACGCCACCCAACGCGGCTACTTAGCGTGGTAGCCGGTGTTCAACAACTCTCCTTGGAACCAAGTCCGCGCTACCCCGTTTCCCGAGTCGTACAACACGAGTCCTATTCACCATTTCGAGGCTACGATATTGCGTTGGTATGGCTCAAAACGCCCCTTCCCATCGACGGGTCAAAGATCGATACGGTAGACTACCGTATCACGGAGAATATGGAGCAAAGCAAAGAGGCATATCTAATCGGTTGGAGCAGTACCCAAAAAATGTTGGAGGTTGTCGACTTTACGACCATCAACTCGAAAGATTGCCGCAGACTGGGTTTTAAGAGCATTACTAGCTCGGATCTATGTGCCTACAGTAAAAAGGGGCGTGGCGCTTGTGATGTATGTACATATGAACATACGTATGGGAAGTAATGAAACTTTCGTTCTAAATATTCCGCTCTAGGGTGACTCTGGAGGAGCGTTACTCAGCGCGAATATGACCAAACAACTCGGTATACTGTCCTATGGAAAGACCATTTGCAAGCCCAATCACATTTATGTTTACACACACATACTTCGGTTGGTGAGTTGGATCGACGCTAATATAAAAAGCAGTTTCGGTTGATACCTCAGTGCTGTTATGCAACATGCTGTACATATATGTAAGTTTAAGCCACAAAATAAAAGCTGCGCTTTTGCAAGTCGATTTTTATATGTATGTATGTATGTACGTATTTATTGTTGCTCACTATCATTCCATTTGCAACTGTTGGCATGTTGCAGAGTTGTTTTAGGACAGCAGAAGCGCCTACTTGTTGTCATCAATTAGGTAACAAGCACACGCGACCTATAAATATTGCACAAACAACATAAATGGATTAACAAAATACATACATACTCCATCCACACAAACACACCCAATCATACATATGTATGAACGAACGCAAACGTACGACACAGACACAATCGTCTTTATCAGATTTAAGCCAACAGTTACAACAAACAGTCATGGGAGACAGAACGAGATGTTTATTTTCTGGCGACTCTATGAGCTACGTAAAAGCCAAATGAGCTTGTCGGTTCTTCGAAAGCAGATATTGGCAGCGAAAATAATTTTTAGTATAGGAATCCAAAGTAATAATAAGTAAGTTTGGTATGCGCCAAGTCAAAATGCACTATGCAGCTTTTCTTAATACTAAAAGAAATTAGGATAGGAATGCGGCAAGACGCTTTGACATCAAACATTTCGCCAAATTACGCAAATACGCGTATTTCAAATAAAATAAAAATTATCCTCACGATCGTTGCAAAAAGTTGCACGTCGCTATTGCCGACTGTAAGGGTGCATCGCACTCGCCTGGATCATAATTTATATCCCACTGTGCCGAGCGCTTGTGTTCGTACATAACACAGAGTTTGTGGCAACTTGAGGCAGTGTAAACAAATTAGGTATTAAAATAAATGACCAATTTGCTGATTATAAGGAACAAGCAATGAATTTAAGCATCTTCAGTTATCGTTTCATTATTTTTGTTCCTGGCTCTGGTTTGGTTTACCGCCACAAGGCAACCAAGCTTGTCGCTAATTTAAAGCATTGACAGCTAATCAGCAGAGAAAACCCAGATGAACTAATTGGATTACAGTGCCCAGTTGACACATATGTAGAAGAGGAAGCTAGTATCCATTTTACCTGCCACTTTGCCGCAACTGCATAATGAATACCTACTCTGCCGCCTTATCTGTGCTTTGATTGAAAGGCTAATACTTAAGAATGCCCAGAGCAAATACGAGTAAACAAAACCCAAAACTGTCACCGAGACTTACAGATGTGCAAGCATGAGTAGGGATTTGCATATTTCCCCACAATAAATCGCACTAAGTATGTCTGACTAAATAAAGGTGAAATCAGGTACACCATTTATGTACTTAATAAGTACCTTGATTTCTTACGCATCTTCTTCAGTCGGTATCAGATGTGCAGAAGAAAATGTTATTTCAGAAGCTGTTCAGTGTCGCATTGTTCATTGCTCTAAGCAATGCTAAAAATGTAGAGCTCCAAGAGGCAGATTCCACGGACACCATTGAGTTAGATGACATCCCAACAACCAGCGCTGAGAGCATTGATGAGTGGGATGATCTGGATTCCGACAACGACACCAACGTGGAAGAACCTGCAACACGTGTCAACGGTGGCCGACCCGTCGCACAACTCGTTCCCTATCAGGTGTCATTGCAGATGCCTCGATTTGGACGTTACCATCACTTCTGTAGCGGATCCATAATTAGCGCTCACCATGTACTGACTGCCGCCCACTGTCTGGCCAACATGAATGCGAATGACATTAGCGTAGTCGCTGGCACGCTGACATGGCGCAGAGGAGGCGAACGTCATCGGGTCATTGCTATGCGCTCGCATCCAAGCTTCTCATCGAGCTCGCTGATCATTAACGACATAGCGGTGCTGAAGGTAACGCCGCCATTTAACTTGGGCAAATCCACTTTAGGCACGATTGCGCTGAGTGGAACGGCCCGCATCGGAGAGAATGTTCCAGTGCGCTTGACGGGTTGGGGCTCCCTTACGCCCACCGGATCTAGCGGTTTGCCAGAGCAGCTACAAGTATTGGACTACCGCACCGTTTCAAACATGGAGTGTGCGCAGCAAGGTTTCCGCATAACTGCTAATGAGCTGTGCGCGCTAGGCGAGCGGGGTCGAGGCGCTTGTGTGGTGAGTAAGGAATGCATTTCAAAAATTTTGGAAAAGGTCCGACATAATTGACAAGCACTAGTTGACACCTAAATTAACGCCTCTAAAATGTTTCTTAAAAAAATGATGTTTTACTTTGCTGCAATAACTTTTTAAAGAGCGCTACGTATACACACAAATTTATGTAGCTCTCCATGGCAAATCAATTTTGTTTTTTCCGATTAGAAATTTTAATATTTTTGCTATTTAATTTTCTCCAGACATAGCAAAACAGTAAATGAGTTGCGCAAAATTTGCTAAAAAGTCTTCCTACTTCCAGGGTGACTCTGGCGGCCCACTTATAACATTGCACGGCTCACCACAGCTGGTCGGGATCGTTTCATACGGCACCGCAACATGCGCCCAGGGTCGACCTGATGTTTACACAAGAGTGTCAAGCTTTCTGCCATACATTAATAAAGTAATAACCAGTGAAATGCCGTGAAGTTGTAAAAAATCGCTATTGTAAAAATTAAAGCTTGAAATTGTTATTCAAACCGCAAAGAACTAGTCACTCAGTTAAAGGCACGCTAAAGGGCAAAACGAGCAAAACAAGCGGCCAAACAATGATGGCAATAACGACAATGACAACGACGACAACGACGACAACGACGACGACGACGATGACGATGATAAACAAACAGATGAGTATTTTCATTCATGCCCAATGCGACTAAAGATGGTGCACCTTTGCTCAGTCCGCTGGTCAAAAGCGCCAGACGAGTTCGCTAAATGGGCGAGGTGAGTGAGGTATATTCTTTGGCTGGCGATTTGCTCTTTGACGTCAGCCACGAATGGATGCGCTCCGCTTATATTGTCGGATCGCCGCTTAGTTTGTCGCAAGGCGCGCGGCGAATCCACAACTCTGGAGTTAGTCGCCAGTCGGTGCTGGGCATAAATGCCGTTGGTAAATTAATAAACTCGGCTTGAATATCCATAAGATGCTCAATGTTTGCACAATGGCTAATTAAAAAGTCGTGTCCGATAGTCGCCACAGACACCTCGCCCTGGTTGCTGCACTCTGCTGCTTCCACGGCGCGTTCACAATCTTTCAAGTGTAGACCTGCGATTGCATTTTGCTGGTCGGAATTTGCGTTTTGTTGGCGGGCCAAGAGGCGGCTCTATGTGCAAGCCACTTGCACACCGACACCAGCGCACCAATAAGCCTCGCTGTCTTGACCAAATCTAATGCAGGGGGAAACAATTTACCGCAGATTTGTTACAGTGTTGATGTGCGTCCCGCCGGGCACAGGTCCAAGAGTCTAACGCTAAGTCAAATGGGAAGCAAGTGTTATGCGTACTACATACATACATGCATATGAAATGTATGCGCATGCACAGCGGAATAATTTATTTGGCGCTTGCGCTTGTTCGCAGTTGAGCGCCTTTTTAGCCCTCAACTGGAACTTCTTAGCAAATTTCGAATTTTACGCGCAGCGAATTCAAAACAAATTTTCAATGAAATTTTCCTGTGACGCTTTTGAGGCTGCAGCATTTTATGTTTATGAAAAACGCGCTGGTACCCTACGAATCTATTGGAATTGCGCGCAGCGATGCTTTTAACTCTCGCAGCAAATTCGATTTGGCGCCGGTCCGTGGCAGAAACAAGGAACTTTGCACCGGGCAGCATTTAAATTCCAAATGCCCATTCCGTTCACCATATTTCCTACCCCGCAAAGTAGTCAAATAGCAGGCGGTTACACACAGTTCTCGCCCTCAGCCGCTTAGAGATCGCCTCAAAACGTTGGCTGCCATCACATTCAACGCGCTTTACTCACTCACCGCTGCGTGCACATAAATTCATTTAAATCAATCAATTCAATTTGTTTGTCAATAAAATTTAAATGAGTATTTCATTTAAACAAATTAAAATCGACCCAGTTGAATGTCGCAATCTGTAGCCGACCGTTGAGACTACGCGCGCTGGAACCTCTGTAGCTGGAAAAATCGTCGCCAAACGTTATGGCGATATCCGAAGTGGGTGCCGTTATGTATGTATGTATGATGGTAGAATTATGAATATGAAGTGATTGAAGCCACGAAGCAAAGATCTCAAAAGTGTGTATACATACATATATACTCCCCGCGAATTGTTGTTTATTTAGGCAACAAGATGCTCGCCCAACCATCGAACTGCCGCAGCGGAGTGGGTCTGATCGACGTACTGTGATTATTTTTTTTAAATTATTTTGAGCAATCATTTTATGATTGTACGTATATGAAAATGAATCAGCTTCTTTGCAGCAACCCTGTAGAGAAAAATTTTATCACACAGCAACTATTTACATTGCTAGCACTATTTTTGAAGTGAAACGTATTTAGCGGCGGTTGTTTGGTTGGGAGTAAATTGGCAAATTCAACGGAAATTGCACACGGAAATGGTGAAACGGAAACGGGATTGTTAACACAAAAGTAAAGACAAAGAGGAGAATAAGGATACCGATAAAAGTAAAGATGAAGATAGAGAAAGAAAGATTAAAATAAAGGTAATAATTATAATTAAAGAGGAAAGGATATAGAGAGAGACACAGAGACTCAATCAGGGAACTATTTTGGGATTTTATGGATCCTTGGGATTCTCTATTTTTATCGGTTTTGTTATCGATATTGTTATGAATTTTGCTATCGATATTTTCGTAACTTATCGATATAATAATCGATATTTTTATCGATTTTTTTATCGATACTTTTATCGCTTTGTTATCGATTTTGCAATCGATATTTTTAACTATTTTGCTAGCGATATTTTTTATCGATTTTGTTCTATATGTTTTTATCGATTTAGTTATCGATATTTGTCGATTTTGTTACCGATATTTATCGGTTTTGTTATCCATATTTATCGATTTGGTTGTCGACATTTATCGATTTTTTTATCGATATCTATCGATTATTTGATCGATATTTAAAAATTTTGTTATCGATATTTATCGATTTTGTTATCGATA